CCAAAAAGGTTCTCCCGGGATAATTTTAAAGTTTTGAATGCTGTTCCTAAGCTTTACCGTTTTATGAATAGGAAAAAATTTCTTAAGAAAAACGGTGACAAATTCATCCCAAGTTGAGATGGAATTTGTTGGTAAGCTGTACAGCCATTTTTTAGCTTTATCCTTAAGAGCAAATGGAATAAATCTAAGCTTAACCGCATCTTCATTTAATTCTCTCATTTTAATCATAATACACACTTCCTCAAATTCCGAAATAAAAATATATGCGTCTTCTGTTTCATTACCAAGGAATTTGGGAAGCATGTTTATGTATTGCGGTCTAAGCTCAAAACTTATTCCATTTGTTTCGGGGAGCCTAATGCATGAGGGGATTGCATTCCTAATGGGATAGCACATATCATGAAGAACGGGTGGATTAGGATGCTCCATTTCTATGATTGGTTCAAAGCGAATTAATCGATGTGTATTATCCCTAATCCACTGTTGCATACACCAAAATATTTCTTTTTATTATTTTTTTTATTTTTTATTTTTTTTCAAAAAAAGAAAGAAAATTAGTTTTTTTTTAGAAGATAAAGAAAAAGAAAAATCCTAACTGAAACAAATCAAAACAATCACTTTTCAATCAACTCTAATTCTAGGGTTTAGCCTAACTCAACTAGACCAGCTCCTAACCAAAAACTCCTACAGTGAAAAGATCAAAGTTTTACCCAGGTAGTTAGCCAGGTAAGGATAGTACTAGAGGGTGATCAAAGATCAATTAAGTACCTCTTTCCTTGCGGAGCGCTTTACGCAACCCCTAAACCTTGCCTTAGACACCAACTAATCTGAGAAAACTTAAACCGGTTCACTTAAGGATTTCTTGTTCCTTATTGAGCTCGAATCCTTAGGGGCCAACGTCTAATGAGTTTTATTAGGCTTGGGTGGTGTAGTGAGGAATTAGTGATTTTTGGGCTAAGGAAAGGGTGATGAAATCCCTCACCTTATCTTGATTATGGGGTTTTGCCCTTAAAAATATTTTTAAGTGTGTGTCAAATCAAGATGCTCAAATCACTTGGTGAATTCCTACACTATATGAAATGCAACCCTATGAATTAAAAGCAACTAAAAAGGATGGAAAAGAAAAATCTTTTTTTTTAATTAGGGTTAACAATCAAACAAATGAGAAGGGGGGATTTGTTTGAATTTATTATCTTGTTAGTAAATGTCAAAGTGGAGGATGAATTTTATTATGGTCAACAAAAAATAAAATCTCTTCTTCTTTTTTAAGTCCTAATTGTCTCTAATTGTGAAGAAGTAGCTAAAGGGTGGAATTAAAAACTAGAAAGAGGACTTACCTGAAAGCAAATCTTCAAATCCTAGCTCTCCAATCCGCGATCTTCAAGCTCCAAGCGTTTCCTTCACAAAAAACACACAAGTTAAAGAACCAAAATAATTAAAACCTACTTAAGCACCTTCCCCGGCAACGGCGCCAAAAACTTGATGCGGCATAAACATGTACCAAAAAGGTTGCAAGTGCACAACCGTGTCAAGTTATAGTATTTAAGATATCGATCCCACGAGGAAGGTGTTTTGTAGGAGAAAATATAAAATCGGTTCTTATGTTGTGTGCGTGACAAGTAGGAGTGATAAGTGAATGTGATTGTGGAGAGATAGAGAGAGTGGAAGTGATAGTGTGTAAATCGGCACGAGATATAAGTGAGAGTGGATGTGACAAAGAATGAATATGATCAATAAGGCAAGAAGGAAAAGGAAAATAAAAATCAAGAATAAAGAAAATAAAATTCAAGAATAAAAGAAAATGCAAGAAATTAAAGATGGTGGATTCAATTATAGATATGGGTAATCTACAATTGAACCCACTTCTTAGAAAAGGGTGATTCCCTAGAGGGTTCTAGCCTAAAGGCGAATCAAACAAAATAAAAATAAACAAAAAGAAAAACTAAACCCAAGAGGGTTCTAGCCTCAAGGTGAATAGTATAAGAAATTAAAATCTAACTACAAAATAAAGTGCAAAATCTAAACTACAAAATAAAATTGCAAGAATTAAATGCAAGAAATTAAATCTATTCTATAAGCATGAAATAAATCTAAGGCAAGAGGGTTCTAGCCTCTTGGCTATTTAACAAGAAAATAAAATCTAAACTACAAGCATAGAAATAAATCTACACTAATAAGCAATAAAAAGGAAATAAAAGAGAAAAAGGAAAGAAAATGCAAACCTCTAAATAATTCTTCATCTCCATCTTCATCATCCAACAAAGAGAAGAAATATTTAAAGTGGTGAAAAAATTATTATTATTAATTGCAACTAAAGTTACAATTTTTGGAAGGCCTTCTCAATTAAGAGTAGCCCTCCTCTCCAAAAGGAGTTTACAAAATTTTCACACCTCTAACCCCTCACTCTCTACCCCTATTTATAGTAAACATCAGTGAATGAGAGCCATTGGATTGAAATCTTATCCAAAAACAACAAATTTCAGCCTTAGATTCGTAACAGACTGCCCAGCGTATCGATGCAGGCATCGATACAGGCATCGATGCAGGCATTGATGTCGGTATCGATGCAGGCATCGATGCCGCCATCGATGCAGGCATCGATGCCTGCCCTTCTCCTTTTGCTGTCCGCAGAGTTCCTCTTCTATTGGCTTTTGGACTTGGATTTTGGGCTTTTGCTTGGGCTTTTGGGCTTCTTGATTTCTTCATGTATTTATTTTGGGCTTTGGCATTTCTTGGGCTTTTCTTCTTTTTCTTAGCTTGGGCTTTTGGATAATTTGGAAATTGATTTTCCAATTGGCTTCATTTCTTCATTTAATCATGGGCTTTTTGTTGAGAGATGGGAATTTGAGATTTATTCTTCATTAACCTGCAATTAAACATAAAAACAGTTATTAGTGGTATATTTATTCATATAAAATAGATAATGAGGGTATAAAACTGTAATAAAATGTGATTATCAGCAGCTTACAGCTGAAGAAATTTCATCAATGGTTCTGATTAAAATGAAGGAAATTGCTGAGGCTTACCTTGCTTTCACCATGAAGAATGCTGGGGTCACGGTCCCTTGCTGAGGCTTACCTTGGTTTCACCAGGAAGAATGTTGTGGTTAGAGTCCCTGCTTCCTTCAATGATTCTCAACGTCAGGCCACTAGCGATGCTGGTGTGATTGCTGGACTTAACGTCGTGAGGATTATTAACGAGCCGACTGTAGCTGTCTTTGCCTATGGTCTCCACAAGAAGGCAGCCAGTGTTGTGTTGTGTGTAGCGGAAAATTCGGCAGAGTTTCTGGTGCACAATAAGAGAAAGATCAATAAGAATTTTTGTCTCACCAAGAAAACAAGAATCTAAAGTGAATATCTCAACAAAGTGAGATATCAGCTCTTCCTCTCATCAGTTCTAGGACTGACTTGTCAAGGGATCCTAAAAACTATTACAATTGCCACAAATATAAACAAACTAATTTTACGTGGTTCAGCAAACTGCCTACGTCCACGGGGCAGGAGGGGAGGATCTACTATTAGAGAGAAAAAGAGTACAAATAAGTTTACAACTCTCACAATCTAAACCTTCAAATAAGCTCATTGCTTTTCTTCTCAAGAAAAGGCCAGCCTCTAAAACTTTTATCTCTCTACACAAGGCTCTACACCTTTGCACACCGTCTCTGCCTTTTTCTGCCCCTAACTTCTGTTCTTGCTCTGCCTTCAGCCACCAAAACAGAAGCCCTCTTTTGCTTCTGCGATTTTTTTCCTAAGCCGCAAGAACTAGACCTCCTTCGCACGCTACCCTAGGAAAGAAAATGTGGAGGTATTTATAAACCTCAATGGTTTTCGGGTGGGCCTTTCTCTATGTCTGCTGGACTAACCACTTCTCTTCACACGGTTTAAGGGGTCATTTATTCACCCCACGCGATTTCCCCGCTCGTGATCTCTTCACGAGAGCTTCACGTACGTGGGTGGCCCCCACTCACATGTTGATCAAAAGAATGTCCTCATCTTTGACCTCGGAGATGGTATCTTTGACGTCTCTCTTTCCCCTATTTCGGAGGGTACCTTTGAGGTCAAGGCTACGGCTGGAGACTCCTGTCTGGGAGGACAGGCCTTGAACAGCCTCTTGGTGTTTTAAGCTGGTTAAGGAGTTCAAGAGGAAGAACAAAAAGGATGTCAGACTCTTGATCCCGAGGCTTTTTGGAAGTTGAAAACAGCTTGTGAGAGGGCACTCAGGACCCTTTCTTCCACTGAGGATCGAGACTGGAGTCGATATTGATTCTACTTAACAATCACAAGGGTCTGGTTAGAGTGCCAGAGCTCGAACCTACTTACTAGAAGGTGTGTGCAGACCATTAAGAAGTGTTTAAGTGATGCCAATTAAGATGGACAAAAGCAGCGTCCGTGAAGTGGTGCTTGTTTGTGGGTCTAGCAGAATCCCCGTGGTCCGGAGAAGGGTTCAGGACTTCCTCAATGGTAGGGATGTCAAATGGGTGGTTTTGGTTGGGTTTGGTTGGGTCATAAATGGGTGGTCACATTTATGACCATTTGACCATTTATAACCCATTTAGCATTTGCTAAATGGGTCGGTTCTCATCCACCCATTTACTAAATGGGTGGTTCATGGGTGACCCAATAACCCATTTAGTTACGATGCTTTTATATATATGTAAATTTCAGGTATCTACTTACAAACTTTCAGGGGGTTTTCTGTAGACTTGCAGGAGATTTTTGGTAAATTTTCAAAGGGGTTTCTGTAAACTTTTAAGGGTTTTCTACAAACTTGCAGGGTTTTTTGGTAAACTTTCACCAACAGTAAAATCAGTATTAATATTGCTAATAAAATAACCATCGTACCAACACAATCACCAACTTTTAAATCGCTACCAATACCCGGTAGATAATACTTTTCCAGCCTGAAATCCAATTTCACAAGCGCAAGCACAGGCAGACAAATTATCAACGGAAAAACATCAACCTCAAAAGCTTCCTCAGTTTAAAAAAAGACGTTCTACATATAACGAAAATCAAAATGTGAAGCGCTAAGATCCCAAGTTTTATACACAGCATTACGACTAGTAAACATTATATAGATCAACATATGCTGAAAGAGATTGGTGCCTACACTCTACAATCATCATACACCAGTCAAGTGAAACCCTCACTAATACCAAAAGAAACAAGCAGCAAACAAACAGCACACTACTACAAAGTGATCAGACTTTGCAATTGCCACATAAGCATGCATATGCTATCGGCTTTTGCCGCGTTATCAGTGAGATCTTTCGGACACTTCTAAACACAAGGTTTCCACAAATTGCAGCGTTCAGGAGGTCGGTGGACGAAAGTGGCATCAAAAACTCACAAAACATGACATAGACCTGAAATAACAAACACAATCAGCGCTATATGCGGACACAACTGATGCAAGTCTGAAAAAAGCAGGTAAGGGAATGCTTGAATGAGCTAGTAATTAAAGAGAAAAAAGCAAACCTGTTTGATCTAAACACCCCTGAGAGTCTTCTACAAGCAGAGACCTTGTATAGTCCAAATTAATTAAGCTCTTAATTGCAGGTTTGTGCAGTATAACTCAAGCATCTCAAACTGGGAGATTAATGGTGGTTTATTTAGACTGAAATGACGAGTACATGTTCTGAAACATCATAACGTGCAGTAGCTTAAATGATGGTGGTTATGACATTGTAAAATTTCTGTGATTAAAAAGACTCGTGAATGGATGCAAAATGATATGGAAACATCATAACGTGCAGTAGCTTAAACATCAATAAAGATTAATACCTTAATAGATGACAAATCTTCTAACAAGCACTTCACCACCCTCCTTCAGATTCAAAATTTTGAATATCACTAAAATCATGCACCAACAGATGTCCTTCTTCAATATCTTCCAAAGCTGCATTTAGATCATAGGATACAACTATGTTAGTCTAATATAACACATGTACACCATAAATTTACAGAAGGTAACAAGAAAAAGTAAGCAACTTACAAGGAACCTCCTCTAACCAAGAACCAAGGCATATTTGAGCTTCGGCATTTTCCGGAAGAAGACGATTACGGTACTTATCAAGCACACGACCAGCTATGCTGAAAGCAGATTCAGAGGCCACTGAAGTAATAGGGATACTGAGTATATCACGAGCCATCATGGATAATTGAGGACGCTTCTCAGATTCTACTTTCCAATATTCAAGAACATTCAGTTTCTCATTTTTCTTCCAAGAAAGTATCTTTTCATCTAAATACTCTTCTAATTCAGACTTGGTCCTACTGACTGAAACTACTTGGCTCTCAAACTGTTCAAACTCAAGCATCTCATCATCACGAACATCTCCAAAGGCCTCTTCCGAACTACTACCGGCCATGCATATATCATTTGATGCTCTCTCATATTCTTTGTAAAGAAGCTTTAACTTATCCAAGAGAGTCACCACATGAGTAGAACCAAGACCCACTTTTTGAAAACAAAACTCCACATATTTCACCTTATAACGGGGGTCTAAGATGCATGCAAAGGACAAAATCTTGCTATAACACTTCCAATATTTATTAAACTTTTTCTCCATATCACTTGCCATAGATTTTATGTCTTCATCTTCACTTGTCATCTCTTCCTTTATGCATTTTTGTATCTTCCAAACTCCACCAAAATACAAGTTAGAAGTTGGGTATTTACTTCCAGAAAAAAGAGTGCACACTTCATAAAAAGGTTTCAAGAACTTTGCTATTTTTTCAGCCTTTACCCATTCTTCAGTTGATGGACAAAATGTAAAATTTGAATCGATTACCTTCAATTGCTCAAATGCCCGACGAAAAGGTAAAACACTCTCCAACATTAAAAAGGTGGAATTCCACCTATTGGACACATCTTGTTGAATTTTCTTTGCACTAACTGAACAAGTTTGTTCGATACACTCTGCAAATTTTTTCTTCCTTCCAGGAGGACTCTTTACATATTTAATGCATTCTCTAAACTTGGATAAAGATTTATCAATTATTTTTAAACCATCTTGTACAACAAGATTTAAAATGTGAGCACAACATCGTACATGCAAAAATTCACCATTGGAGACAAAATGCTCCTTTAAAGCAGGATGGTCTTTCAAAATCTTCATAAAAGCATCATTATATGATGCATTATCCAATGTAACAGTGAAAATTCTTTTTTCTATGCCCCACTCCTTCAGTAAATGAAATAGCTTCTCTACTAAAATTGCCCCACTATATGGGGGTGAAACATGAGACAAAGCTAATATTTTGTTTTGCAAGATCCATTGCTCATCAATGTAATGTGCAGTAAGAGACATGTAGTAATCTGATGTTGAAGAGGTCCACAAGTCTGTAGTTAGACTGATTCTGCTAGGAACTAGCTTCAAAGTTTGTTTAAGAATTCTTTTTTCTTTCTGGTACAACTTAAGCAAATCAGCTTTAGTGGTGTTCCTCGAGATATGCTTGACTTCAGGATTTAAAAATGTATGTAATTTGTGTATCCCTCGATGTTCCACAAAACAGAATGAATAACCATGCAATGCAATGACCCTAGCCAACATTTCTCTGTAATTATCTTGATCTAATGGCATGGTTTTCCATGATGAATCAGCCTCATCTATATCTCGTTTTGGGCAAGAATGAATATGCCTCAACATATTTGTGGTACCATAACCACTAACATAAACTTGGTCACATTTCTTGCACTGAACTTTAGCTTTCCCATCACTATCAACAGGCAACTCAGTAAAATACTCCCAAACTTTTGATTTTGCTCTTCTTTTACGTATAGATATAGTTTCATTACCAGATTCACTACCATCATCGCATGCAGTAAATTCATTCAAAGACATAGTAACTGAAACAAGAAAAATAACTTTTTATTATCAAATCAAATGTCAAAAGTTAATAAAATAGCTTCGTATATAACAAATAACTACAATAAGAAAAAGAACCCTACCCAACAAATTCCAACACAAGATCCATGTCAATATTTTGTTTCTTGCTACGGGAGTTACAGATGTGAAGAAGAATCCATGTCAATTTTTTATTATCAAATCAAATGTCAATATTTGCTGAAACGTATGTTTCAGATAGTACACAAATCGTCCTTCTGTTGTCTCATAGATAGGATCTACCTCTAAATATGTTGGACAGCAATCTATCATGTGTTAGACAAATATTTATGATTTATCTAAGTGCATTAAACTTGCTTGCTTATGCAGGTTAGAAGAAGAATTTATATAGACGCGTTCAACTAGTTTGCGTACTACATGAAGGGAATTTGCATGTGTGGATCTGGGTAGACATCATTATCAGAAAATATAAATACATGGTAGCCCATGAATCAGACTCGTGTTTTCCTTTTTAATTAAAAAATTAATTGATTCACCAGATTTGGTAGATTAACAGTAACTCCATTATATTTTTCTGGAAACAGAAGTTCATATAATATTCTCAGTTTCAATAGTCTTAAGCACAAACTCACAAAGATATGCAATTTCAAGTCAGATTAAAAATTTCAGGGAAAAAACATATTGAATCAATTAATACCATAAACAGTCAAGTTTCCAATCAGTTCTCTCCACCCTTACTAGTTTATATCTATAAACAAGGAAATTTGACAAAGAAATGGTCAGAAATCAAAACTCTACACTTAAAATCACTTTGATTTGGGAACTACTCCAGACTATAAGTCGTCCATGATCAACACCAATCCATGATCAACTCTACACTTAAAATTCACATCATAGTAGTATATTACCTCCCATATAATTGCCTTCAGTTATTTGTACCCTTGACAGTTCTGCTATAAGATGCAATTTGACTGTAAAACTGTACCGTGTTATAATAACTAGTAAGATGCAATTTGAGAGTTCTGCTATAAAATTCTGACCAGATGTACAAAATTCTGACCAGATGCCATATTCTCAATTTCAGTTTCGTGCACAAGCTAACTATCAACTCTATGGTTTTTAGCAAAAAATGTGAATCACACTAGTATTAGTTCTACTAATGCAAGTTGTGCTAGTATTAAATAGAAATTCAGCACAATCTTTGACTCTAAAAATGAAATTTTACTCAGGACATGCAAACGCTGCAAATCATTAACATAAACTGAGATCACAGAACGGACTAACAAATACAGAAGATGCAAGATGTATTGTTTGACAAATTGCCGCAGTGAGGAAATGCAATACGAACAAATCATAGAGCTGAGAAACTAAAACATTTTACAAGGGAGAAATAAATTAGAAAATAAAACCTGAGGACGTCTCTTCAGCGAGCTCAGCGGATTAAAACTTCAGAGCTCGATCAAAGGCCTGATCAAGAAACCCTAAAATTGAAAGGAGACAGGATTAAGAAACCCCAAAATTGAAAGGAGGCAAGATCAAGAAACCCTACTAAGAATGTACCTCAAAATCCAGTGATTAGCTCGATCAAAGGCCTGAATTTGAACAGGAAAGACGCTCGAACCCTAATCATTGCCTCCACAAGTTGAAGATTCGATTCTCCTGTTGATCGAGAGGAACTATGACTCGATCGGAGAGAGATGAGGAAGCTCGATACTCTCCGCTGAAGGTAATCGATCGCTTGCGAGGAGAGAGATCGAGGAACTAGGGCTCGAGCGTTTGAGAAAGAGGGGAGAAAGGAGAACGGAGAACGGAGAACGCGTGTTTATGGATCAGATTGGGTTGGTTATGGGCGGGTTTGGTTATGAACCATTTAGTCTATAGGGAAGCAATACCCACCCATTTAGGACCCGCTTTGTTAAGTGGGTGGGTATAGTTGGACTATTTTGTGAGTAGGTATGGGTGGATTATTGGGTTTGGGTCTAGATTGACATCCCTACTCAATGGCAAGGAGCTCTGCTCGAGCATCAACCCTGACAAGGCTTGTTGTTGATGGTGCTGCAGTCCAAGCTGCAATCTTGAGCAGCCAAAGCAGCGAGAAGTTCCAAGACTTGGTCGTCTTGGATGTTACTCCTTGGTCCCTCGGTCTTAATTAATGGTTTTGCGGGGAAAATGGATGAGTTGATCCCAAGAAACACAAGGATTCCCGCGAAGACTCAGCTGGTGTTATCGGCTCACTCAAGCAGCCAACCCTTAGCCTTGATCTCGGTCCATGAGGGTGAGAAGTCATGGACCATGTTGAACGAATTCTTTGCCATGTTTGAGCTCTTAGGAATCCCTCCATCTCCCAAGAGAGTCGCCCTGATCATAGTCAGCTTCCTCAGTATCTTTGCAGAGGAGAAGTTTACTCCAAACAAGAACAAGTCTACCAACAAAGTCACCGTCACCGGGCTGAGCAAAGAAGTAGTAGCCTGTTGTGCGCAGCGAAAATTTTGGCAGAGTTTCTGGTGCACAATAAGAGAGAAAGATCAATAAGAATTCCCATCTCACAAAGGAAACAAGAATCTAAAGCGAATATCTCAACAAGGTGAAATATCGACTCTTCCTCTCATCAGTTCTAGGACTGACTTGTCGAGGGATCCTAAAAACTATTACAATGACCACAAACAACAAATCACACAAGTTTTACGTGGTTCGGCAAACTGCCTACGTCCACGAGGTAAGAAGGGGGAGATCTACTATTAGAGGGAGAGAATACAACTAGGGTTTATAATCACTCAATCTAAACCCTCAAACAATCTCTCTCACACACACAAATATCTCTCTGTTTTTTTCTCTCAAAAGAAATAGCCGCGAGAACAGTAACTTTTCTTCCTCCTTCGCACGCCGTCGATTTTTTCTTCTGACTGCACAAATCCTCTTTGCATGCCCTTTCTGCCGCAGCCGCAAACACCCCTCCTTCGCACGCCTTGAAACCCTACGGAGACATCAGTATTTATAGGAGATTAAAAACACTGCTGCAAACATGTCTCGGGTGGGCCCCAATAAACTCTCGCGTGGGCCTGTCCCTGTCCGCACCGCCTGCCATTCACAAGTCTTTAAGATATGTCCCTGTTTCAAATAGCAAGACGAGTGGGTGGGCCCCAATGCTCGCAAATCCTCTATGCACGCCCTTTCTGCCGCAGCCGCAAACACCCCTCCTTCGCACGCCTTGAAACCCTACGGAGACATCAATATTTATAGGAGATTAAAAACATTGCTGCAAATATGTCTCGAGTGGGCCCCAATAAACTCTCGCGTGGGCCTGTCCCTGTCCGCACCGCCTGCCATTCACAAGTCTTTAAGATATGTCCCTGTTTCAAATAGCAAGACGAGTGGGTGGGCCCCAATGCTCGCAAATCCTCTATGCACGCCCTTTCTGCCGCAGCCGCAAACACCCCTCCTTCGCACGCCTTGAAACCCTACGGAGACATCAATATTTATAGGAGATTAAAAACATTGCTGCAAATATGTCTCGAGTGGGCCCCAATAAACTCTCGCGTGGGCCTGTCCCTGTCCCCACCACCTGCCATTCACAAGTCTTTGAGATATGTCCCTGTTTCAAATAGCAAGACGAGTGGGTGGGCCCTAATGCGCGCATTCACGTGTCTTCATGCAGACATGGCCCATGTGGCCTCCACTCACGCCTCCCAACAATTCTCCACCTCGGCGAAGTTTTTTCAAAACTGAGCCGATACCAACCAAACCAAATGTCTCACTTGTTGCGTCCAGTACGAAGTGAAACGATTCACTAACGAACTCCATCCATAACAAATCGAGAACCCAAACGAAAATGCAAACACTCTCCATCCAATCCCTCAAATCACTCCCTCGACTGTCTCATAATCTCTATATATATACGAATATGGATGCTAATATCTATGTGGATATATAAATGAATAGACATGCAGATATAAAACGTATATGAGAAAACTAGATAACACCGGTAAAAATATAGTGCATATGATACAAGAGAGTTGTTAACATGCTCATTATATCTAAAAAACTTAGGTTAGATCTCTAGATCATCAAAATTAGCCTCAAATTTCAATAATCTAAAGATTAAAATAGTTGCGATAAAAAAATAGTTGCAACTTGTTGATGTCAGATGTTTAACGATAGGTTTTTGGGTGAGTTATAGAGTGTTTATCTTCTTTCATGGATGATTATTGGGCAGAGTTCGATCATGCACACAAACAATACATAAAAAGATTGAAGTTAGGTTTTTTGGTGGTTCCTCCGATGGTCAAGTCAGTATTGAACTCAGATGGAGGAAAGAAAATATGAGCATTGTACGTTATAGCAAAAATTACGTACCATCATGCAGTAGGCAATCCGTCTATTTATAGTAGATTATGAAGGGTATTTGCGTAACTTTGGCCAATTACAAGCAATCGACTAGGCCAACTAATACTTTACAGGTGTCAGGCGCGGGTATTAATTGTGGCGGCAACGGAGGGGCTACGGAGCCAGCGTTATTCAATGAGTCATTATGACTCCAGGTGAGATGTAACGATGATTTTGACTAAGCATTTAATGTTATGGTGGCCGGCTATCATTGAGGGGTTCGAGAAAGACCACCTTTCGTCTCAGCTTTTCGAGGGAGGCACAAGAAAAGACACCTTTTGATTCGGCTATTCTGAATGAGAGTGCTTCTCGATTCAGTCAACTGAGTGGTAACACATTATGTTAGTTTTAGTAGCAGTCCCTGAGTGAGAACGCCCTTCGACTTGGCCCTCTTGGAAGGGCCCAAGTGAAGGTGTTCTTTGACTTAGCCTTCATGAAGTCAGATCGGATTGGTGTATAGTTAATTTGAGACGCGTGTCATCTCGTGAATGTGATTAACACTTAATCATTTCTATGATACTACACAACTACATGACCAATGTATATTCAGATATTTCGAATGCGGATACATATATTCATTACAATAACCATATCTGTTACCATATCTTATCATATATAAATTTTAGGAACCATATCTATTTCCATATCAAGAAAATACGGATATAGATATTTTCTTGATTATGAATATTTTGCGCCTCTAGGAAAAATCCCACGGGTATCACCGTACGCTTGGGTTATAGGTTATCGGGTACAAATCCGACATAAGAATACAGACCGGACGACAAGATAAAGCTCCGACATACACGCGACCCAAGCCCACTCGCGATCTCCGTTTTCTTCTTCCTCCCGCCAACAATCCCATTTTTAATTCTGTACCATGGAGCAGCTCCTCCTCAAAAAACTCCAAGCCCTAACCCCCCTCCCCTCCAGCGATCTCAAAACCCTAACCCTAGCCCGATCTCTTCTCACGAACCCTAACTCCTCCCCTTCCACCCTCGATTCCGCCACAAAAACCCTAATCCAAACCCTAGACTCCCGCCGCCAGGACTCGTCCTTCGCCCGCCACGTCATCAAGGTCATCGGTGACGCCGCCTCCGTCCACCGATCCCTCGTCCCTTTGGCGATTCAAGTGATCCGGCCATTTTTAAACGGCGATGATGGCGTCCCAGCGGATGCGCTTGCTGTTTTTGATTCTTTGGGGGAGTACGATTTGTTGGATGAGGAGCTTGTGATATCACTTGCTTCGAGCCCGATTGTGTCGGTTCGGCTGAGGATTGTTGAGATTTTGGGTTCGAATTTGGATATGCTGGGTCTTGAGCTTATGATGAGAGTGTTGTTGGGTCTTTCGACAGATATTTATCCATCGGTGAGAAATTCAGCGGTTAGGGCACTTGTTGGGCTGTTGAAGAGAGATGGTTTGAATTTGAAGTGTGTTTATGATCGTGGGGTTGAGCTCTTGAGGGATGAGGATGAGCTCGTGAGATTGGCTGCTGTGAAATTGGTGAAAGGCTCATTCACATTTGCTTTTTTAGTGATTACTGTGTTGATATTTGTTCTTATTTTTCCTTAATTTTTGGCAATTAGGTGAGTGAGTGTGCACGATTGTTTGCAGTGGGTGAAGCTGGCGGTGCCCGTGAGCTGATAAATGTGATATTTGTTCAGGTATGCTCTCGTTGGAATTTTATTATGTATTTTTTATGTAAATTAGCGTTTATTAGATGGATTAGCCAGTAGAAATCAATTGAAATGCTGGGTATCTTTTGAAAATAGTTATTGTAGTGTGATCCCGTAGGGGATCTGTTTCTTTCCATGATATGGTCTTCACGTCAAGTGCTTATTTTCTTATCTAGTTCATCTTTCAGTAAGAGTATCTTTACTAGCCTCTAAAGTTCTTGAAGACTCGAGCATACTGTGTATGTGTACACACACGCACACACACGCACACGCACACACATATGAGTATTTTACACACACATGTTGCATTGTGATGCATATGAATGCCAAACAGATTATTGTGCAAGGAAGGGAAGGTTGTATCTATATTGGTCATTTGTACACAACCTTTCCTTCTTTATAGACAATCAATTGATATGCACTGGTCATTCCTGAGACTTTGGAAAGTTTCTATATAATTCCTTTATACACAAGAAATTTATGTACAATCTTTTCTTATCACTTATAAGCATCCAATTTATCATTCACGTAAATGATTAACAAATCATTTGTATATACTGGTCTCCTACTTTGTGGATGCAGATAATCATTTCTAGTGGATGTTTCTTTTAATTTTTTACGATTCTTGATTTACCTTAGGTATTTTCATGAAAGTATATCTCCTCTTTCTTCACATTTTGCTTGTTGAATATTTAAAAAATATATCTTCTTGCTCTAGTATGTTATTGTGTATCTATCCACAGATATGTCAAACTTTTATAAGTCAGTGAATGATATATATTTATGCTTCATAATTCTTATTGAAAGAAAATGTAAGTTTTTTATTTTGCTATTGTGGATGCTTTTTTGAACTCTCTATGTCCATTTTGTGGAGTCAGTTTGTATATCACCTCAAAATTGCTTCAAACTGCCGTACCAGATATTATTATGGTGGCTTCTGTTGATTTACCAGAGTTATATTTCATTGTAGGAGGAATTCTTTTGTTTCTCCCTTCTGGGATATACTTATTTATCTCTTGGATGTTGTTCCATTCCAGTTTTGGATAACTTTTTATTCCTTTATGCAATCGTTCAAGAGAATCTAAACAAACAGATGTAAGGAAGGCTATTGCTACCTTGTTTGCCTGATTTGATACTACCTGAAGTTTTTAAATGTTCCCTTATTCATGGAAGTTAAGCAAACAGAATTAATTGTTCTCTTTATATTCCTCATTTTATGGCTTAAATCGACTTGACCAAGACCTTGGAGGTACTTGAGGATGTTTTAGCCAAGTACTCATGCATAAATTTGTTCATAGATGTAATTGGTTTAGCTTTAATATCTGAATGTTAGCCTTAAACACCCACCATACCCACCCACCCACGCACACAAGCCCACCGACCCTAAGCACTCAAGTACTCATACACCCTCACAATCTAATGTACTTGGATGTTTAATCTATTTCTTAAATTGAAAAACCTAACTCATGAATTTATATGATAGTATCTTGATCTCTGCTTTATTCAGCTTTGTTGGATGGCAAGGGATATGAATTTGAAGGTCAGATTAGAAGCTTTTATTGCCCTAGGAGGAGTAAGGTTGGTGTCTGAAGGTGTTCTTCTACAGTCGCTTTCAAAGAAAATCTTGGGAAGCAAAAGTGAAGGAAGCTCCCTTACTGAATGCATTGTCAAAGAATATAAATGTCCAATGTCATGTGCTGCTGGAGCTTTTGTACATGGGATTGAAGATGAGTTTCATGAGGTACCTACAATTTTATTCCCAGTAGCTGGTTTTCGCTGAAAAAGTTCTTTGCCAGTAGTTCTTTATTTGGTTTTTATAAATTTAAGGCCTTTAGTAAAAAACAGCAGTTCTTCTAACTTCCATGTTTCTTTGTTCAAGGTACGAACAGCTGCTTGCAAATCCTTGGGGATGCTCTCAAGGTTTTCTATCCGGTTTGCTGAGAATGCCTTGAACTTGTTAATGGACATGCTAAATGATGATGTACTAGCTGTTCGGTTACAAACTTTGCAAAATTTGTTTCATATGGCAACACGTGGTCGTCTAACAATACAGGAGAAACACATGCAAATGGTACATACCTTGGTCATGAATTTCATTAGTGTTCAATTGTTTCCACGAATTGGTTTTATTTTAATGTGCAGGAATATTAATGTGGGATCATTTTTAAACGTCTTACATGTATGATAGGCTAAATAGCACTTATATAACCTATTGTTTCATCTATTTTTCAGTTTTCACCTATATACCTTCACTTGTATTGGTAGCAAGAAAATGCCCTGAAGTCTTTTAAACTTGTACTTATATACCCTCACTTGTTTTTGTGGTAGCAATTAGATACCCTAAAGTTGTTAAAACTTGCACTTAAATAACCTAAAGTTTTTAAATTTGACACTTAAATACTCTTAAGGTTTTTAAGACTTGCACTTCAATACCCTCAAGTTTGCATAGCTGAGGATAGTTATGTGCAAGTTTTAACAACTTTAGGGTATTTCAGTGCTTGTTATAAAAATATTAGGGTATTTAAGTGCTAGTTGTAAAAACATTAGGGTATTTAAGTGCCGTTAAAAAGTGAGGGTATATAAGTGCAAGTTTAAAAAACTTTAGGGTATTTTTTTGCTACCAAATACAAGTTGGGGTACATAAGTGAAAACTAGTTGAAACAATAGGGTATTTAGGTGCTCTTTAGCCTTATCAATATCATTACTCATCATGTGTAATTTGACTCTAGATGCAGCCAGTACCTTCTTTTTTTCCCCGCGAAATGTTCATTCGGGAAGTTGTTTTGCATTTCATTTCATCATGTACAGTTGGCTTACTAGTTCAAACAAGAGCCTAATGTACAATTTTGTTGCAGTTTCTTGGTTCATTAGCTGATAGTAATGCCGTGATTAGACATGCAGCAAGAGAAGTGCTCCGGCTAATGAAGCTGCCGAAGCTTGAGATGTTTATAGCTGCAGTTGACGACCTTATCGAAAATTTGATGATGCACCCAGAGGTTGGCAGTGTTGCAACTTTTTTTAGTATAAGCGATAAAGTAACTTGATTATTGTGATTTTCCAATTGGTCCTTGTAATCTTCTTACATCATCCCCTTTCTTCTGTCAAATTGATTGATATAAAAAAAATCAAATACACGGACACATGTTCCTATGCTTGTGAACAAAGAAAAATTTGTTAGATCTAAATAAAAACTTGAGATCTAAAACCATAAAGCCATTGATTAATTCGAAGAGATTAACAATAATCAAAAGAGCGGAAACTTATACCTGAATCCATAGATGAACCTGAGATGGGTTTTGGATCTTCTAACCTTAGGGTTTCTCTATAGCCGAATTTCTCTCTCTAGATGGGGGTGAAGAGAATTAGAGAATGTAACCCTAGATTAGGGACCATAACCCCTTATTTATAGGTGTTGTACATTTGCAATTTGGCCCCTCAACAAATCACAATTACAACCTGGTATCTGCACATATAACCCCATGACTTATTTAAGTACCTATTAATCCAACTTGATTGATCACTTTAGTGGGTTATCCTGAAAGATAGCAATACACATTGATTAATCATATGTGCCCACAAATAGATTTATTAGATTAAATCCAACAAAATTATCTACAGACTGAGAATGTCCACAGATGGTTTCTAGTGTAAAATACTGACATATATAACTTCTTTAAACACATATGAGAAAAATTTATGACAAGTTCTTCGTTTCTAAATACGGACATAAGTAACTTCAAGTTATTCTGGAAATTGTATGGATGCATTGCATTGGAAACCGAGTTGATAACTGGCGGACATCATGCACCAATTGCAAACAAAATTAGATAATTATGCGGTGAGGTATATATCACCTCATTTTTATCAAAAAATTAAAATTCTCAAGCCATCGGGGAAGTTTACTGTGAAGAACGTGAAATTAAATATTGTTATACACAGGGAGATCATCATAAATGTAATGACCAGTGTTCTTGTTTAACGTGATTCCAAAAGAATATAATGACAATTTAGAAACTAATCTGTAATTCATAGACATGGGTAGGAAGTCTTGGACATGGCATGATATATCTATTCTGCTTTGTGCGTATGTGAAGAACTTAAAATAGTAAATGATCCAAAAGTTGTAAAATTTTTCTCTGGAGGGGGTTATAACATAATACATGTTTCTGAGAGGAATCAAGGTTTACATATGTACTAAGGGGCTGTTTAGTTGTAGGATTTGTATTTTGGACTCGTGTTGAGCATCTTTCCATAATTTAATCTCTTGTTTGGTTTGCACTTTGCAGGAAAGTGGGGTGGAAATAGTTTTGGAAGAGATTCTAATAATTCTTGTTTGTTTCAAAAGAAAGTGATAAAGTTTGAAGGTGATTCATGAACCCCCCTAAAGATTGGTTTTGTATTTAAATTAGGATCTGTTAGTGTTCAGTAATTGTGCTATTTTGAAACAAAGAAAGATAAGATCAACGTAATAGACTAGACTTTTGAAATTTTTAGATTTTTTACAATTTTAAAAATAATTTTTAAATTTAGTGGAACACAATTCTCAAAATTCTCCCAAAATCCTAAACTTTGGCTAGGATTCTGACATAATAGAATTCTTAAATGGCATCAATCCCAAAACTCAAATTTGTGGAACCAAGCACCGGATTTAAGACAACAATTTTTACCTAGTCACTTTTCAGGTGCGGGACCCATTTTTCTTACCCACTTTCCCTGGACTCCTTTAATAATAATCCCTCAGAGTTTTACATGCAGATATATGTGTTATGTC